ACACACACACACACACCCTCCTTCCCTCCACCACACACACCCCCCTCCTTCTCTCCACCACACACACATGTGTGCACGCACACTTACACACGCACACCCTCCTTCCCTCCACCACACACACGTGTGCACACACACACTTACACACTTACACACACACCCTCCTTCCCTCCACCACACACATGTGTGCACGCACACTTACACACACACACACTCCTTCCCTCCACCACACACATACACCCCCCTCCTTTTTTCCCTCCAACACACATACACACACACACGTACACACGTGTGCACGCACACTTACACACACACACACACACGCACTCCCTCCTTCCCTCCACCACACACACACACACCCTCCTTCTTTCCCTCCAACACACATACACACACACACGTACACACGTGTGCACGCACACTTACACACACACACACACACACACACACACACACACACTCCCTCCTTCCCTCCTCCTCACCCCCTTCTTGTTCACCTCAGGCTGTTACTAGGGACCCACTGGGTGGTGGTTCACTGAGATGGTTTTAAAGACCAGCAAACAAAAGCAGAAAACAAATGTCAAGTCTTAGCTCACCGCTTAGGCTTGGTTTGCAGCCAAACAACAGACTAGAAGGAGATGACGGACACCACAGAGGACGCATGCCCCTTGGAACGACCAGCTGCAGAGGTCAGAGGGCAATGTTTGCCCAGAGAGGAAACTCAGGAGCCAGGAAGCACGGGAGTTCCCTGTTAGACCAAAGGTCCGTGGTTTGAACTTACCAACTGCTCCATGGGAGAAAAAAGGGCATTTCCTTCCCGCAACTGACGAGTCACCAATGAATCAGCTCAATGATTCATCGATTCGATTTGGTTTGTTTGGTTTTTTTTATCTTTTATTTTTTTAAAAAAAATCTAAGAAGGCAGGAAGGGATGAATGAAAATGGGAAACACAGGAGGGAACAGGGAAGAGTGCTGTTTCACTGTGGGGACTGTCTCCAATGTCACGAATCAAAAGAACCTTGAATTGTTGGGTAGAATTGGTTGAGTAAACTTTCAACTCAAATTACAATGAGACTTTTTAAAAAATTTTATTATTTTTGTGTGAGTGTACCATCAAATCAGATCTGACTGGTACAGGAGGAGATTTTCCCTCCTTCCCCGGCAGAGCATCTGGTGGATTTGAACCGTGGGCCTCTGGGATTGTAGTTGCAGCTCCTTGCCACTAGGCCACCAGAGACGTTTTAGGGAGGGAGGCTTCTGTGGTGGCTTTTGGTTTGTTGTTTTTTTAAGGAAAGAGATGGCAGCAGCAGTAGGGCTGTCTCGGCCACATACTCTCCAAGACTGAGCAAAAAGGACGATCTCAGTCCCTTCCCCGGGGAGGAGCTGACCCGCAGTTTGTGGTCCCTGGAAAAGGCAGTCACTTTGGGCACGACAGGACACCGCCCCATCCTTGTCTTTGTCCAGTGGGGTGGTCAGGCCAGACCCACCCTCCTCACCAACATCTGATCAGACAGGTTCTCAGTCTGCCCTGCTCATCAATTTCCTGCTTTCGAAAGCCACAAGCAGAAGTTTCGTTTTCTTTTTTCTACAGAAAGCTGACTAGATGAGCTGGCTGGAGACCAGATGGGCCTCTGGTCGCTATCTCGCCCGCTCGCTCACCCCTCTGGCTACAACACCACGAGCCCAGCACTGGTGCCCAGCATGGCCGAGGCCCCCGCTGACCCGGACAGAAAAGGTACAGCCCTCCTTCCTCCCACAGAGTGGGGTCCTGGGTGGGTAGCCTGACGGCAGTAGTGATAACAGTATTCCCTACAAGGTCACTGTCAGGAAGACCAGTCTGCTTGAGGGCTGACTAGATGGGAGCCCAGGGAGCCCAGGGAGCCCTGGGTACACAGTGGTTAAGGCAAGTTGGCTGCTAACCGAAAGGTTGACAGTTCAAACCTACCCATCATTCCATGGGCGACAGATGTGAGCTTGTGTGTGTGAGCTTTGTGGTCCCAGAAACCCGCAGGGTGGTTCCACTCTGCCTTGTACAGCTGCTGAGTCAGAATGAGTTCTACAGGAGTCAGTTTAGGCTTGAAGGTTTTTTAATGTGTTGTGATACTCGCTGTGTATCTTTGCGGCAGCATAAGTGCAAAGATTCTCCCCACTTTGCAGAGGAGATAACTGAGGGCTGAGGAGGGCAAATCCCATAGTAACACAGCCGGCAAACATAGGAGCCCAGGCTGCCAACGGCTCTGGATAACTCATTCTGAGACCACAGAAGCCGCTCTGATAAGTGGATGTGGGTGTGTTTTCATCCTTTTTTGCCTCTGTTGATGTTCTGCTCCCAGAATGAGCTGGGCTCGGGCACCCGCAGCGCTGTGGTCTGGAGGTGGGGTGTCAGTGTTAGCATCACGTTTAATCTTGACCACAAGCTTTGACAGCGAGCTCTGTGGCCGCTCTGTTGGGAATTGCAGTGCAACTCAACAGCAATACTTCTTCGCAAGTTCGAATCCACCAGCGGTTCCCCGGGAGAAAGCTGGGCAGTCTCTTCCCATGCGAGTTCCAGCCTCCGCTGCAAAATCTCCTAGAGAGTCAGCTATGAGTCACTTCTGATTAGACAGCAATGAGATTTTTAAAACAGGCTTTATTGTAGATGCCTTTATGGTTCCTATGTCATAGGTGGGAAACTGAGGCACTCAGGGGTGGTAAAGCTGGTAAGTGGCTCAAAGCTGGGAAAATAGGCATCATAGGATCTGACAGGCGAGAGTGCGCATGGACAGGGTCCTGCAGAAAGGAGGGGACATGGGGAGGCAGCGGAATAGTGGGTGCATGAGGGGGTCAGTGGGATAGAGGGCACACGGCGGGCCAGGGGGGTAGGGAGTGCACGGGGCAGGGCATGGTGGGACAGAGGCTGCATGGGGGGTAGTGGGATGGGGTGCATGGAAGGCTGTGAGTTAGGGGTGCATAAAGAACTGTGAGTTAGAGGGTGCACAGAGGGTAGTGAGATGGGGTGCATGGAGGACAGTGAGATAGGGTGCATGAAGGGCTGTGAGTTAGGGGTGCAGGGAGGGCAGTGGAATAGAGGGTCCATAGAGGGCAGTGGGATGAGGTGCATGAAGGGCTGTGAGTTAGGGGTGCAGGGAGGACAGTGAGTTAGGGGGTACACAGAGAGCAGTGATTAGAGGGTGCACGGAGGGCAGTGGGATAGACAGTCCATAGAGGGCAGTGGGATGGGGTGCAGGGAGGGTGCAGTGAGTTAGGGGGTACACAGAGAGCAGTGATTAGGGGGTGCACGGAGGGCAGTGGGATGGGGTACACAGAGGGTAGTGAGTTAGGGGGTGCATGGAGGACAGTGGGATAGGGGGTGCACCGGGGATGGCAGTCAGTTGGGGGTGCACAGGGTGGAAGTGGCAGAATCTGGAGCCCAGTCTGGCACAGCCAGGAGCACTCTCCTCCATTACAACTGGCCACCTGCCCTGGGTCCCTTCTTCACTATCACTTTCAGACACCGGCGCATAGGAGCCCAGCCAGCCCCCCACTCTGGTTCACTGGCTCCCCCGCTGGCTGTCATTTGGGGCAGGGGGTGAGGTGGAGGCGGAGGGAGCCAGAAGTCAAGCTTCCTGAGTAGGCCTTGCTAGAATCGAGACTGCAGACCACACAAAGGTCAGCTGTGCCGCCAGCTGGACGGAAGTCCCACCCTCTGAGTGTGATTTGGGGTGAAGGGTGACACCCGAGTCTTCTACATTCCTCTTCTCCTGAGCCCAGAAAGGGCTCTCTAACCACAGAGAACCCATTGGTCCCCTTCCTCTATCCTGCACGGGGGACCAGAGTTGTTTCCAATCTGGAAAACAAAAACACAGAGGGCACCTTCATGGCAGTCACCGCTGGGATAGGGCACTGCTGGGACTTCCCGGCGGCTGATGGACTCTGCCATCTGCGGGCCCTCCGCAGACTCGGGCCCCTCTTACCACTTCCTCCACCTGCCTGGTCAGTACACAGCCGCCGGTTCTCACGGCAGACACAGCTGGTCCTGGGAACAGTGAGTGACACACGTCCTGCCTGCTCAGGGCTCCGTGACTTCCAGGGGGACAAGGCAATGGTCTGGGGAGCCACCCACACCCTGCCCCGGATCAGGTGGGCAGAGGACTGTCCTGACAGAGATGCTTCCACTCGCCCACCAGCCCATGTGCTCACCTAACCACTTGCCCACGTCCCAGTCATTCACCCACTCCCTCACCCCCAACCACTCACCCACCTTCCCTAACCAGCACTCACCTGCCCACTCAACCACCCACTCACTCACCTAACTACTCACCCAGCCACGGCCACACACTCAGTCACACTTCAAGTTACCCTCCCAGTCACTCACCGAGCAGCTCAGGTCCCTGGCTCCTTACTTGGTGTGGTTCCATCCTGGGAGTACCCAGGCCCCTCTGCCCCTCCCTCCCCTAGCCGACCAGGGGCTCTATCCTGGGGGAGCTGCTCAATCCCTTCTCTGTCCTCCCCCAGATGACCTGGAAGGGAAAATCCTGCAGGCGCTGCAGGAAGCTGGCTCCCCTACAAAGACGGCCCAGCTGGTGGTGAAATGCCAGGTGTCCAGGAAGGAGCTCAACCAGGTCCTCTACCGGATGAAGAGCCAGTCCAAAGTCATCCTCCTAGAGCCTGCCACCTGGAGCCTGGCCGACGCTGGGCCTGGAGCTGTGGTTCCCTTCCAGCCGGCTGAGTCAGCGCGGAGCTGCGGTAAGGGCCTCTGAGGAGGGGGCAGGACCAGCTGGGCTATGGGGCCACCACTGAACCCAGAGACGGCCGTGCTGGGCCCAGCTATGCTCCAGGGCTCCCTTCCCTCTGCTCTGATTTCTTTTCCTGCTCCACGGAGATAGTGATAAGCCTACTTCCTAGGTGGCCAGGAGAGGCCACGCCATGTTCAGCCCAGGGCTGGCACAGAGCAGGTGTTCAGCAAACCCTGGTAGTAGTAACATAAGATCATGCTGTCGCCGCTGAGTTCACGTCTACTCATGGGGACCCACGTGTCCAATTCTGCACCGCAGGATTTTCCAATTTTAGTATATGCGCTGCCGAAGCGAGCGCAAGGATGTTCAAGACTGCGACTGTTTGCAAGCACACTGCCAGACCTTTCTTCCAACGTGTGTCTGAGTGGGTCCAAACAGCCAGCCTATTGGCTGGGCGTCAAGAGTCCATTTCTGCCCCACAAGGGCTTCTTCCAGATAACAGCAGTGACAACAGAAACACTAGTAGTAACAGAGCATTCAGATTCCACTGAAAACCCACAGTCTTCAAGTCCATTCCAACTCACAAAAACCCCATGGGACAGTGCAGACCTGTCCTGGAGGGTGTCGAAGGCTGTCACCTTAGAAACAGACTGTCAGGGAGCTCTGGTGGCCTAGTGGCAAGAAGCTGTGCTGCTATCCCGAAGGCGCGTGGTTCGAATCCACCAGATGCTCCGCTGGAGGAGGGGCAAAGTCCTCCTGTGCCTGTTGGATCCGATTTGCACACAACAAGAAAAAAAAGAAACAGACTGTCACATCTTCCCTCACTGAGCAGTGCTTGCCTTCAAACTTCCAACCTTTCAGTTGACAGCTGGGTGCTTAAACACTGCACCACCTGGGATGTCAGTGTCATTCTGTTGTTGTTGTTATGTGCCGTTGGGTCGGAAGTGACCCGTAGCTTACCCTGCGGTGGGTTTTCAGGGGCAGTGTAATTGCACAGGAGGAGATTGCCATCTTTCTCCCATAGAGCAGCTGGTGGATTTGAACAGCCTGCTTTTGGGACTGCAGCGCAGTTTCTTACCACTAGGCCGTCAGAGCTCTTGATTCCCCCCCTTTTTTGTGTAGTTTGACAGTTAGCAACCCAAACAGCTGATGTGTATCAGGTACTTGGAATTGGAGGATGCTGTGTGTGCTCAGGCATCCACGGGCTTCTCCCTCAGTCTCTATTCTGGTTCATCTGTTCCGGCCTAGTCTGTACTCTGTTCCAGCCTCATTCACTCACTGGTCCCTTGGGTTGCTGAGGCTGTAAATCGCACGGGGCAGATTGCCCCTCCTCCTCCCTTGAACCGCTGGTGGACTGGCCTTCGGGTTGGCGATGCACCACCAGCAGAGCTCCTGGGCCTGGCGTGCTCTCTGCTCTTCTGTCCTAACCTGGTCTGATCTGTTCTGCTCTATGATGTTGTTTGTCCTAACCTCGCCTCCTCTGTTCTAACCTAATCTCAGGCTCAATCCAAATTCATTACTGCTGAATCAGAACTGACTCGGCTGACCCTCCTTTTCAGAGGTTGGAAATTGCACGGGAGGCATCTGCCCATCTTTCTCACGGGGCAGAGCAACTGGTGGGTTAGAAAATAGATTAGACTCTCACTACTCTAAAGGGCCCCCTTGGCAGACATTCACCCTGAAACCCACAGCATCCCTTTTCAGCAGGAAGTAGCTAAGAGAATACGCCATCCCCTTTTCCTTATGAATCAGGGTGAAGTCTCTCTCAGGGAGGAGTGATAGGGAATGGCAAGGGACACACTGACAAAGGAGATTAACCAGAACTGGCTTTGACAAGCACTGTGGCAATTGGACAATTAAAACAGACATGGGGGGGGGGGAAGAAGAACGAACTGGAGAGGAGGGTGGAGAAAACAGTGCAACAATGAATGAATGAAAACCCAAAATCTCTGTAAATGTTCATTAAAACTAATAAAATTTAATAATAAAAAAATAGATTAGACTAACTCCTTACCCACAAGGCCAGCAGAGCACCCTAGGCCACTGGTCTGTTCTGTTCTGTTCACTAATCTAGGCTAGCTAATCTAGGGAGCTCTGGTAGCCCCAGAGGGTAAGAAGTTAATCTAGTTCTTTTATTCTGCTGTAGACTATCTGCTGTTGTTGTTGTTATTGTGTGCCGTCGAGTCAGAATTGACTCACAGCTGACCTTCCAGAAGCTTTTCTGAGGCTGTAAATGACAGGGAGGAGGTTCTCCTGTGAAGCACCTGGTAGATTCAAAGAACCCGGCTCTGGGCTGGTAGCACAGCTCCTGACCACGAGGCAACCAGAGCTCCCTGCTCAAATCTGTTTCGTTCTGGCCTAGATGATCCTGTCTCATTTGTTGTTGTTAGGTGCCGAGGAGTTGGCTAAGACTCACAGCAACCCTATGGACAAGAGAGCTGAGCCTCGGCCTGTCCTGAACCGTCCTCACGGCCTCTGGTGGCTCCAGTCATCGGTCAGGCTGTGTCACTCCACCGTCGGGTGCACTCACTTTTATTCTGTTCTAGTCTAGCCTAGTGTATCCTATTCTATTCTACTCTAGTAGAGTCTTCTAGTCTAGTAATCTAGTCTACTGGACCCTATTCTTCAGAAAAGCAATCCCCAGAGGGAAAGCTCCCCACTCTACAGAAAAGAAAACTGAGTTCCTGAGGGGTTGGTCAACATTGCAAGGGGACAGGATGGGATTTGGAACGAATTTCTTGGCCTCTGGATTCTGTGTTAGAAACCTCATGCGCTGTGACTCCCCTTTGGGACAGGCACTTTTGCCAACTGGACTCTCTCGCACTCTCTGCCCTCTGCCCTGTTTTTCTCTCTCCAGCCCTGAAGCGCCCTCAGGACATGGCCAGTGTTCCCCAGATGCCTGGGTCCTCGCCCACTCAGCTACGTGAGCATCTTCCTCCCTCCCCTCCCTCCTGGGCCTCCCGGGATGTTAGCCCTGCACCGGTGCTGCGTTCCACCACCTCAAGGACCCACATCAAGAGCGACCCAGTGAAGACCTGAAATGGTCAAGGAGAGATTTCTTTGATCAGTGCGGTTGCCAGCAGGTCCACTCAGTTCATGGCGACCCAGGCACGTCAGAGTGGACCTGTGCTCACAGGGCTGTGGTGCTTTTGGAAGTACATGGCCAGACCTTCTTCCAAGGAGCTGTGGTGGACTAGAACCTGCAGGCTTTCTGTTATCGGCTGAGCGCCTTGTTTGCGTCCTTTCTTTCCCCCATGTGGTGGACATCGGTGCTCTGTGTCCATTCCTACATCACTTTTTTATGGTGCCGTGTCATGACGCCCATTTCACAGATGGAAAGTCTGAGCACAGAGCGTGGGTCCCTTACTCGGTCGGGGTCACTGAGCTGGTGGGCGCTGAAGGAGATCCAGACCGAGAGGCCCCTGATTACTCACCTCCTGTCTTCCAGAGGAAGAGATTTACCGGCTGCTGGCAGACAGGGGGCCCCAGAGAGCCCTGGTCATCGCCCAGGTCCTGGGGATGAAGACGGCGCGAGATGTCAACCCAGCCCTGTACGCAATGCGGAACCGGCACCAGCTGAGCCTTGATGAGGGCACAAGGTTGTGGGCCATTTATGTGCCAGGTAGGTGCCCACCTTTTAGTTCGCTGCCCTCAGGCCAGTCTTTCATTGTTTTTGTTCAGACATTCCTCTAGGTCGTATAGCCCTGATGTACAAGTTGCCGTCCCGTGGTCGCTTGTAGTTGCTGTGAGACTGAACCCTGTGACACGGATGTGTCAAATATGTTAATGGTTGGCTACCCAACGCGGACAGAGAGTGGGGTGGAGCTCCCCGATTAAACAAGCGTGGAAGGAGGAGTGACATCCACTTTCATAATAGCTTGCCTCCGGAAACCCTATGAACCTGGAGAGAGGATGAAAGGCACCCAAGCGTCAAGGACTTGACGGCACTTAACAACAACAGGTGCCCACCATCACCTGATCCTGGACCAGGCGGGGAGTGTGGGCTGTGGAGAGAAACCACCACCCTGAGGGGGTCTCTGCTGGACTTGGTCTCAGTGGCCCTGTTCCAGGCTCCCTGGAGACATGGCTTTAGGGTTGCCTGAGCAGAAGGGGAGAAGCTGGGAGAGGAAGTAGCCCATTCCCAACTTTATCAGCAGAGAGGAATCCTTGTGGTGCAGTGTGTTAAGGTTGGAGGGTCGATCCCCGCTGCCAGCAGCTCCAGGGAGAAACCTTCTGCTCCTGTACAGGCCCACAGCCCGGAAAGCCGTGGGCCAGTTCTACTCTGGTTCAGAGGTCACTGGGTCAGAACTGACTTGAGCAGTGGGTTGGGCTGGGAGATGGGAGGTGGTCTGAGTTTGACAGCGGGTTTTAGGGAGTCTTTGCCCAGCTTGAGGTTCTCAAGTGGCTGCAAGGGAGGTCAGGCTGGGCTCAGAGGCCCAGAGTCCACCCCTCGGTCAGTCAGCCACAGGGCCAAGGACCCACGGTGACGTTAGAGATGCACTTTAACTTCTTTTAAACGCAGAGGAGGAAGCAGTTAACACCACGGCGACACTGGCATGCTTTTGTTCACTGCGCTTTGCAGACATCAGGCCTTTCATGAATCGAAGGCTCTTGGCCACTCTGCGTCAAGCATGTGCTGACGTCTCCGTCCCATTTCAGTCATTCTCGAAGTATCTCAGAACTCCCAACAATGCTATTACACACTCGATAGATGACTACAAAACACCCCAAAACCAAGCACTCAACAAAACAAAAACCACCAAGGCGCTCTGGTGGCCTGGTGGCTGAGAGTTGTGCTGCCAGCCCAGTAGTAGACAGTTCAAATCCACTCACCTCTTATATGAGAAAGACGGGCAGTCTCCTCCCGTGTGACTTACTGCACCTAGACACGCGTTTGAGAGCCAGCTACGAACAGGTTCTGACTCGACAGCAGTGATAGATGACAGCGTACTGGAAATACACTTTTCAGGTGCCCTGAGAGCCCATCACCACTATCTTCTCTTTACTGGGGTGTCTGGAACCACCCCACAATATATCTGAGTCTCGCCCGTAATGATCATCTGACGTGAACTCTTCCTGGCTCCCAACAATCCCCAGTTACACAACCATACCACGTGCTGTTAGAGACTGGTTTGGGGAGGAAGCCCAGTGGGTCTGCCCATCTGGGGCTGACCCCAGCTCATGGACCCCTGGGGGTCTCCACATCCTAAGGTTGTAGTGAATGACAGGGAGTCAGATTTTAAATATCAGAGATGGATCGGAATACTAAACATGGTTCAGATCCAACAAAATACATGCATGGCCAGACATGGCCGATAGATAGTCATCTTGTGGTCACTGCTGGAGGGCAGAAGGGATGTGGGCTCAGTGGCCAGTGTGGCACATACCTGAGGGGGACGACGATGGGGCCAGTGGCTGGAGGCTCCTGCAGTCCTCCCAGCCAGAAAGCCTGGTGGCCTGGCCTGTCGTGCCCATTCTTAGGTGACACTCCATCTGAAAATGACCAGTCACGTTTTCAAGTCTGCTGGTTCCTGGGTCCTGCTTTAGAATGGCTGACTCTGAAGCCCAGAGTGGGGATCTGAACTTTGACAAGCTTCCCAGGAGACCTCAGTGCTGTCAACTGATTTTCACAGCCTGAACCCACTGCCCACGCACCCTCTGTTGTTGATTTCTCTTCACGGTGACTGTAGAACAGACTAGAACTGCCCATGGTTTCCAAGACTGTGAACCTTTGTGGAAGCAGGTGCCTCACCTGTCTCCTGCAGAGAGGGCTGGAATCACTGACCTTTCAGTCAGCAGCCTCCAGGGCTCCTCCCTTGACCCAAAACCCGAAAACCACACCCACCGCCGTCCCGTTGCTGCTGCTTATCCTGGGCTTGTAGGTTCCCACGGCGATGCCCTTACAGGAGGTGACGACTCATCCTTCTCCCCGAGAGTGGCTGGGGGATTCGAACCGCTGACTTTTCCATTAGCAGCCTATGCAGCATATGCTGCACCTGAGGACTCCTTCCCTTGACCCCTGGCTTTGTTGTTAGGCGTCCCTGCAGAGTGACCCCACGTGCATCAGGCTGAGACCTCCTGCCGTCCTCTGCCATCCTCTCAATCTGCCGGGCTCCAGCCCTTGTCGTGGTCACTCTGCCACTTTATTCCCTTGAGGGGCTTCCTTTCTTCTGCTGACCCTTCAATTCTCCAGTATATTGTGCTTTTCCAAGGACAGACCCTTCCTGACAGCACGACAGAAGTGTCACCATCCTTGCCTCTGCGGAGCACTCCAGCGGCACTTAGGCCTGTTCTGTTAGCCGTCCACGGGAGAGACGGCTCTCTTAGCTAACAGCGCAATCCAAAGGCGTCGATCCTTTTTCAGTCTTCCTTCTTCATTATCCAGCGTTCACATGCATAAGAAGCAACTGGAAATACCATGACTTGAATCAGATGCCCCTCACTCTTTAAGATGACATCCTCGTTCTTTAGCGTCTAAAATTCCTTGAAAGATTTATCCAGTACAACACATCTTCTGATTTCTTGGCTGCTGCTACCATGGCTATTGATCAGGGATCAATAAAATGACACCCGAAGAGCCGTGAATGCATGTTGTTGTTGTGTGCCATCGAGTTGGAACCAACCCATAGCTGATCCTTCAGCTGGTTTTCAGAGGCATTTAACTGCATGGGAGGAGACTGTCCGTCCTTATCCAGCACAGAAGCTGGGGGACTCGAACCACGTGCCTTCAGGATTACAGCACAGCTTCTTGCTATTAAGCATAGAGAGAAATATTACTTATAATTATAAATATTATTATTATTATTATTATTATTATTATTATTATTATTATACTGTATTTTGGGCAAGGCTTGCTGAGAAGATTAGTTCTCATTTAATAATTTCTACACACATTATTCAGTGAGATTGGTTATATTCTTCACAATGAACATTCTGAGTATTTATCTTCTGGTTCTTCCGTCCCCATTAATCTAGTCTCCCTGGCCCCTTACATTCTCATCTTTGTTTAAAGTCACTATTAACCGTTTCATTTCATAGAGATGATTTGGGGTGGGGGAGAAGCATCACAAGGAGGGAGTTTTTTATTTTTTGAGTCAATCTGTTATTTAGATAAAAGGTGACCTCAGGGGCTGGATGAATTATTGTTTTGCAGAAGGTTCCAGAAGGAAAAATCAGACCACTGAGTGTATTTACCAGAAAAGTACAGTCAACATGATCTTCCAGAATGGACCCAATAGCTGCATTTCCATTACAAACTCTAAGGACATCCAGATTGAACCAGTGCGTGCCACACAGGGAGACACGGCCTCTGGGGACAGTGGTAAGTCCCCCGCACCCAGGAGAGAGGAGGGCCTGGAGGGTGGAAAAGGGCAGTGGCTTTCAGATCTCCAGGGACCACTCTTACAGCCTAGGCTTAGCCTGCCATCCAGACAGTGAGCAAATCCTTCTTCGTACCCAGATCAAACCCCTGCATTTCTTTTACTTTTTGCCTCATTTTCAGTAAATCTCCTATGGCAGATGAAACACAGCTCTCCCCCAGCAAAATGTTACAGGGATTATGACATTTTCTTCCTTCTGAGACACACTTCCCCCCAGCCCCCCACATTTTAACATTTAAATACGAGGCACCTTGTTCGGGGTTTCATCCTGTAGTTGGCTACCACTAGGCCGGAGCTGACCCATAGCTGACCCTCCATTGGGTTTTCAGAGACAGTAAATCATCGCATGGAGCTGACTGCCCCTCTTTCTCCCTCAGAGCACTGGTGGATTCGAACCACGTTCCTTCAGGCTGGCAGTGCAGCTCCTTGCCACTAGGCCATCAGAGCTCTGAAAGAGCTCTCTCAGTTTCCTCCTAGTTCTGATGAAATGCAGTTGGGTGTCTCCTCCTCACCAGGCTCTGTGGTCCAGCCACGCAGTGCCATCTGTCTGTCCAGCCAACATGAGTGACCTCAGGAGGGCCCTTCTCCATGCTGGGCCACGGTTTCCCCAACTCTGTAAGAGGGACTTTTTTCTAGAATCCAGGTCTCTGTTTTTAGACCTTAGGTCCATAGCTACCATGCTCACAATTTACTGTTTTTAAATTGTATATCTTTTCATTTTTACTCAAAGATGTTGTAAAATAAAATTTGACACCATGGTCTACCAATGAGAGGCATGAAGGCCAAATCAAGGAAGCGACGAGGGGTCACGCGAGGCAGGCTCCAGGCTGGAACACTGGGTGTTCTGAGGTGTGAATGAGTTGGAAGGAGATTTGTCCCTCTGTAGGGCTGGAGGGTCAAGAACACCAAGGTGGAGGGATGTCCTGCCTTCCAGGCCTGTCAGTGCCCCAGTGAGGCCCAGCTCCCAGCGCCTGTTAAACCCTGCACCTTCAGTCTGTAGACTGGCTGATGGGAACCAGTCTGATGGTGACTGGGCAGAATTCAAAGCCTGACCTGCTCCACCCGGCAGGACTCTGAGGAGGACCATGGTGGTGTTGGGGGTTGGGGAAGTCTGGGGTCTCCTCCAGGAGGGCTCTGCTGCTGCCTCCCCCCAGGCTCCACAGCTCCCCTCCAGCCTCCTCCCTCGGCACCATTGGGCCCCTCAGTGCCCCTGGCCCCGGCCAGCGCCTGGAGCCCCCAAAACATCCACATGTGGAAGTGCAAACAGGTGCAACTGGGAAACTACAACACTTTTCATCTTCACGGTGCCTTTTCACCTCCCGAAAGTCCTCAAGGTAACCTGCCTTCCCCTCAACAAAGTCCCCTCCCCTCAGTGGAAGGATCTGGAAACAGAGTCTGGGACAGGGGCATGATGGGAAATTCCTGTTTTTTTCACCTGAAGTTCAAATCAGAGTAGAACAGGTGGGGCTCTGGTTCCTGTCCTTCCTGGGGACCTCGGTCTCCTTATCTGTAGAATGGGTGTGGTCTCCCCAGAGAGGAGGGGATGGGAAGGTGGCTGCTGTGAGATCTCCTGGGACCTCACACCCTGTGAGATCTCCTGGGACCTCACACCCTCTAAGGACCGTGATTGCGCAGTGACCACTGCTCTCAGTCCTCTGCTGTCCTGAGACTCTAGAGATGAGCTAACAGGGAGGGAGAAACAGGCTGCGGCCTGTGGAGAAATGGCCTGGGAATGGAGAAGCCAGGAACACTGAGAGAAGCGTCCGGAGGGGAGATGCCAGCAGGTGCGGCACGCAGAGAGGCAGTGGTGACCATCAGAGGACAGCTGCTGTGAGTGAGAGGGACAGTGCCTGAGGAGAGGGGAGGCCAGGCTGAAGCTGGCCGATCAGGCAGGCGGCAGTGTGGACCTGGCCTGGGGGTGGGGCAAGTGGCTGAATGAGAGGCCAAGCAGCTCATGGGCTGACGGTAGAAAGTTCCTCAAGGAGAGGCCCCCACAGAGGCCAGGGAGGGCCACCGTCCAGCTCACCTCTACTTCACTATCCATTCTCTCTGCTTGACCATTCTCTCTGCCACTGCTCATTCAGAGCCTTCAATGGAAGCACAAATGGACAAGCCAGGACCTCGCCCAGGAGGGGATGAGACTCAGGGAGTCCAAGGCGAAACACAGCTCCTCGGGCACTTGGCCATCAACAAAGAAATGACTGTTAGCTCAGCTGGTCCCAAAGGAGACAACAGCAAGAATTCTGGGGGCCTGGGGGAGCGTAGAGGTGAGTCTGGGGCCATAGTGGACCCGTATGTTCTCTTTCCCAATCAGCCAACAAGCATTCTCTCGTTTCTGGGAGGTGAAGGAGAACCAGGAGACCAGGAGTCACACTGTCCATGGTCAAACCTGAGTCACTTAGCTCTCTGCGCTGCGGTGTCCTCACCAGTTCAAGGCTGTGTGGCAGGGAGGTCTGTCCGGGCTAAGACCACAGGCCGTGATTCTGACATGTCACCAGCTTCTTTTAGGTCACACTTGCACCCCCCGGGTCAATCTCCCACCTCCAGGGTGCCGTCCAGACCTCAGGTGGGGGACACCTGCTTCCTTGTTGGGTCTTGCAACCCCTGCGTCTCCAGGCTCCTGCTGGTTCTCCCTTTGTCCACCCGCCATGGCTCTGTCTTCCACAGCCCTAGCAGGACAGAGCAGAGGTGCTGGTGGGCTTAACAAGCTAGCCTGTTCGTTCTCAGCCGGACCTGGTGCAGCACATGCACTGAAGCAATCACACCATCGTTCCTGTCACTCCAGCGCTTGAGAGGTGCTGGGATCCACAAAGGGTGAGAGTCTCTCTCTCTAGGGGAACAGGTTAAGCTGCTGCTGCAAAGACCCCCAAACGTGTGGTCCCACCTGAGTTTTCTCTCCTCTGTGCATGGAGGGTGGTCCAGGTGCCTCTTGACATCATCCACAGGCCTCCTTCCTTCCATCTTGGTTCTCAGCCATTTCTTGGGCTCTGTCCCTGTCCATGGGCTTGAACTTGACACTTGAAAGGGAAGAGGTATGAAGAGCCAGCAGCTTCTTTCACAAAGCCCACCAGCACCTCTGCTCCGACTTGTTAGGTCTGTGGGAGACAGAGCCATGGCGGGTGGACAAAGGGAGAACCAGGAGGATCCTGGAGATGCAGGGGCTGCAGGACCCAACAAGGAAGCAGGTGTCCCCCACCTGCAGGTCTGGATGGCATCCTGGAGGTGAGAGATTGACCCGGGGGTGCAAGTGTGACCTAAAAAGAGGCTGGTGACATGTCAGAATCACGGCCTGGGGTCTTAGCCTGGGCAGACCTCGCTGCCACACCTCCAAGAACCCCAAGCTGAAACATTATGGGGTGTACCTCCATAAGACACTGTAGGGACAGGTCAGAGAGGACGTGGGGAGGCAGGAGCTCCAGCTTTGGTCTAGGGAGGGACACCAGTTAACAGAGGCTGATGTCTAGTGTTACTTGTGTCTTCTTGGCCTCCAGATGCTGGTTCTGCACTGTCCAGAAGCGATCAGGCCGGCCCTGGCATCGATCAGATGCTCGTCTCTGAGATGGAAGCTTTGACTTTTGGGAGCAGGGACCCCCTGCCTGCAGAAGACAGAGCCCCTGGGGAGGGGAACTAGTAGGAGGTAGGGTATGAAGCAGACTCTGGGGAGAGGCTGGATGGGAGTGCTGGGGCCTGGGCAGTGTGTGGCCCAATCCAGAAATGGCTTTTTTTGTTCATTTCCTGATGCCGTCCCTGGGTCTGCCTTCAGGGCTGGGGATGGCATTGGAGTGACTCCAGTGGGATCATGGGAGTGAGGGGCTGACAGGGGTGGTCTGGGGTGCCCGTGTGCTATGAGGTGTGATGGTTAACATAGTTGCCCCCTCGGCCCAGACGCCCACTCTCCTTGTCCAAGATCTGGCTTCTGAGGGTCCATCATGACCAACTTACCTTCTTGGCTGTCACACAGCCTTTCTAGAACCTTCCCACCCCAGTCTTGGTTTCTCAATTCACCTTCAAGAAGGAAATCCCTCCGACAGGAATCACTGGTTGCCTGTGGGTCAGGTGACTTCCCCCAGCTAGTCCGTAGCTATGCACATACCCTAAATATGGCTCTGGCCTCAAGGACAGAACTGGCCAGAAAGGGAGTGTGTGCTGTGATGTTTCCAGTGCAGAGCCATGGTGCTGGGGGCAGTGAGGGCTTTGGGGGAAGACTGATGGGATGTAGTTTTGGAGACATGGAAGACAGGGGTTACAGAGAGGAGGTGATCAGCCGCCTGGTGCTTCCTGCGCACACACGTACACTCAACTCAAGACAGGTGCTTACAAAGAGGAAGTGGACAGATCAGCATATGGGCCGTGGAAAGTCAAGTGCCCTCGAATACGTACGACATAAGGAAACTGCCTAGCTCTGCCCAGTCATTATTGTGTTTGAGTCCATTGCTGCATTGCATCTTGTTGGTGGTCTTCCTCTCTTTTTATGATCCCCGTCCTATTTCCAAGCAAAATGTCTGTTTCCAGAGACTGGTCCCAGAGGATGTAGGGGGAATTCTTGCCGTGTGCATAGTGGAGAAGGACGCTGAACCAACACGAGTCTCCTGTCCCATCTGGACTGGAAGAATCTTAACTCCATCCAGGAAGTCTCCCCAGCTGGAATGGATTTGAACCACTAACCTTTGGATTAGCAGCCAAAGCCAAACCCACTGCCAACAATGGATTCTAATGTATAGTAACCTGTAAGAACAGAGCTTCCTGGCAGAGTTTCCAAGCTGTGCCTCCATACAGAAGCTGGCTGCCCCATTGTTCTCTTACGGGATGACTGAGGGGTTCAAACCACCGGCCGTTGGGCAGCTTAGTGCTTTAACCTCAGTGTCCCCAGAGCTAGTGCGAACTAGTTTCCGGTTGCTGTTGGGTGGACTCTGACTCCTGCCAGCTCTGCGCATGTCAGAGAGGAATGTGGAGTGCGGGATTCCACAGGTACATCTGCAGGTCCTTGCTCTGAGGCACCTTTGTGATTGTTGTGCCAGTCTAGTCAGATCCAACCTAGCTGACCCTCTGTCAGGTTTTAAGAGGCTGTCAGTCGCCTGGGAGGAGATTGCCACTTTTCTCTTGAGGAGCAGCTGGTAGATTTGAACCATGTAGCTCTGGGTTGCCAGCACAACTCCTTACCAATGTAAGCAATGCACTTTAGACTGGTCCGTCTTTAGAGGGAAGACTACAAAGGCTCGGGTCAAGAGTCATGTGTAAGTGAGCTCTAGTGGCCTAGTGGCAAGAAGTTGTACTGCAATCCCCGAGGTGAGCGGTTTGAATCCACCAGATGCTCTGCTGGAGAAGGCGGGACAGTCTCCTCCTGTGCCAGTCGGATTCGATTTGATGGTGCACACCCACAAAATAATAATATCTTTTTAAAAAAAAGTCTACTTTAAAAAAAAAGTCACGAGTAGACACAAAGGAAACATAATTAAATAGCTGGCACATCAGACCACAGAGCCCTGGAATGTGTGTGCAAGCGAGATGGGGGGGAGGGAGGGAGAGGGGTTGTAACAGAGGATGTAGGCTTAGGAGACGTGTAGGAAAGAATGTACACCCCGTGGTTCTCGGTAAAGGAGGAATCAGGGGAGGGTCTTGCAAACTAGGAGAGAAAAACTCTGGGCGGGCTGTGGAAAGCACACAAGCCTGATTCTTTATCTGGGCTTGGGCACTCGATTTTGCAAAGTTGGTTAATAAAGCCTCACTCCTGCTAAATTGAGTTTGCATTGGATTACTTGAATGTTTGTCAGGTCAATACTCTGAGTAACTTACGGGCAAACTCATATGAGAGAAGGCAGCCGGAAGGCACTGTTCCTAGCCTGGGAAGTGGCCTGGAGGGGGGTGGGGAAAGGCAGTGTGTGTGCATGTGTGTGTGTGTGTGTGTGTGAGAGAGAGAGAGAGAGAGAGATTGAGGCTGAGTCTCCAGTTGCCAAGAGGAGCGGAGAGAGTGTCCTGGGTACTGACAGCGTTTTCACACCTCTAGACCACCAGAGCTCCCTGGAGCTGGTTCAAGGTGGACTTGAATTCCCATCAAGTTCCCTGATGGTTCTACAGAAGAAGCCACACTTCCATTCAAATGAAAACCAGACTTAGTGCTGCCAGGCCAATCCCAGCACATAGTAGTCCTACAGGCCAAAGTGGAACAGCTCCACAGGGTTTCCACAGCTATAAATCTTTATGGAAGTGGATGGTCGCATCTTTCTGACATGGTGGGTTGGAATTGCTGGCCTTTTGGTTAACAGCTGTAATTCCAGAGTTCTTTCTCCAAATTGTTTTGTTAGATGACATTGAGTCAACAACTCTACAAAGAACAGATCTGAAACTTGTCCTATCCTGTGCCATCCTCATCATAAACTTGAGCCCATTGCTGCAGTCACTTTGTCAGTCCACCTCATTAAGTGTTGTCCTCTCTTCTGTTGACCTTCACCTTTCCAAGCACGCTGTCCTTCTCCAAGGAATAGCCTCTCCTAGCAACATGCCCAAAGTATGTGACACAAAACGTCACCATCCCTACTTCCTAAGAGCACTCTGGCTGCATGTTTTCCAGGATATCTGTTTGTCCTTTTGGAAGGCCATGGAATGACTATTCAGTGCTCTTCTCCAACACCCCAGCTCAAAGGCGTCAAATCTTCACCTGTCATCCCTGTTCATTGTCCAGCTCTCAGAAGCGTAACAAGTGATTAAAAAGACAATGGCCTGAATCTGGCGTACCTTAGTCTTCAAAGTAACAACGCGGCTCCTCAGTATTTTGGAGAGTTCTCTAATAGCAGACTTGGCTTCTCCAAATTGCAGCCACGAAAACACTGTAATGCAGTTCTACACTGAAACTCTGTATTACAACTCTGTGTAATTACAACTGTGAGTTGTAAGAGAGAATCCACTTGATGACGAAGGTTTTGGTGTCTTTTGGTTTGCTGTTGTTATGAGGTGATGTGGTTGTGAAGCGCTGTTGCTGGGAGATGTTGTTGTGAGATGCTGTTGTGAGGTGTTGTGAGATGCTGTTGTTATGAGGTGCTGTTGTTGTGAGGTGTTACGAGGTGTTGCTGTGAGATACTGTTATTGTGAGGTGGTGTTGTGAGGTACTGTCACTGTGAAGCGCTGTTGCTGTGAGGTGCTATTGTTGTGAAGCGCTGTTGTTAGGAGGTGCTGTTGCTGTGAGGTGCTGTTGTTGTGAGGTGCTGTCGTGAAGTGCTGTTGTTAGGAGGTGCTGTTGCTGTGAGGTGCTGTTGTTGTGAGGTGCTGTCGT